CCGGGCCGGCCGCGCTCCGCCGGGCCCCGGGCCGGCCGCGGGGCTGCTGCAGATGGCGGAGAAGTTCTCCCGCGGCCAGTACGCGGGCATCACCGAGTTCGTGGCGGACTTCAGGGCGATGCTGGAGACGTGCTACCGCCTGCACGGCGTGGACCACTGGATCTCCAGGCAGGGCCAGAAGCTGGAGATGATGCTGGAGCAGAAGCTGGCGCTGCTGTCCCGGTAAGGGAGCCCCGGCCGACACAAACACACCCTCGCACGTGTCCGCGGAGGGCCGGGCCAGGCCGGGGGCGGTGCTGATAGGTGCGGAGGGCCGGCCGGGGAGGGGCAGGGGCCGGGGCCGGGGTGGGGTGGGGGGGGGTCATTGTGAAAATGTCTCTTAAAGGAAGTGGGTGACACCGCTGGAAACACGTGCAAGGTGGTGGCTCGGTGCCTTCTGACAGTGGGTGATGCCTCTGAGCTGGGCGGACCTGGGATGCCCGGGCGCCACTGTCTATGAGTTTAGATTTTAGGGACCAGAAGCCGTCGGCAGTCCTGCTCCTGCTAGCTGTGTTTTGTTTTTGTTTTTTTTTATATCCAGAGTCAATTTCTTTCCTAACACTAACCTAAAACAGGAAGCGACTAAGATGCAGACATTGATTTTAAATCACCAATTGATGTCATCCAAATTAAGTGGAAACTATTAAGGCATAGGAAAAGAAATTGAAGATGCTTGGCAGTTGGATTCGAAGAATACTACTTTATTTTCTAATTGTGGGTACTTGACCAAACCACAAAATATTTTTTGCATTTCTTCCTAATCTGTAAAATGGAAGTAATAATGAAAGGTTGGCAGGAGGCTAAAATGAGTTACTAAATGTAGTCTCTGCAGTGCTGGCTCCTTAAGATTAGGATATGTGCTACACTATGAATTTGGGTAAAATCAATTCCTATCTTCCGCCTGAAATTCCGCCTTGCTATTTTTGCAAAGTAGTTCATGAAAAGTTGTGCGAACAATTCATTGGTCAGTCACATATCATTGCAGTTTCAGACTTTTCCCGCTAAAGTAGTGTAGTGTTTCCCTCATGGAGCCCTGGTGGCTTTCATGCTTACAGCAGTTTCCTCCCAGAAAAGATTTACAGCCTCAGAAATCAGATGGGGTGTTACTGAGTTAGTCTTTAAAGTCAGCAACCTTTGCTTAAATCTTTTCCTGAAGAAGAGTTAATTTGGTGATGGGATAATTACGAATTTGCCTTCTACTTTTACTACCTTTTTTAGGCCCTGTGTGATAGATTTCAGATCACTCTCCAGTGCCCACAGTTAAACTGACACAGTTATGTATGTTATGATGTACTTGTCCTGTTCACACATCCTTCATTTTGAATACTCCAATTTGAAGTCACATGGTTTTGACCTGAAAATAACCTCTGTCTATCTAGTCTAAGCTCCCAGTTTTGCAGATGTAGAAAGAGGAATCCAGAATAGGCAAGAGAATGACTGCAGGAAAGTACTATCAGGTTGTTTATCAATTTGAATGAATTATAGGTGTTTCCAAAAGCACTGTGTATGTGCTAAATGTCAGTATTCTATGTTGTTGTTGTTAAGTGCCGTCGAGTCGCTTGCGACTCATAGCGACCCTATGTACAACAGCCCTAAACTCTGTCCTGTGCCAATCGCACTGTCTCTGACACTCCTATCCCGATTATCCCAGTCACTGAATCAATCCATCTCATAGAGGGCCTTCCCCTCCTGCACTGTCCCTCCACCCTCCCAAGCATGATGTCCTTTTCCAGGGACCGGTCTCTCCTCACAACATGTCCAAAGTATGTTAGACGGAGCCTCAGAATCCTTGCCTCCAAGTATTCGATGAGTCTTGCAAAGGAACAGAGAAACTAGAGAAATTTCAAAAATCCAGTTGCCAGCATTCTGAATGCTGTATTACCATCTTATAGAGTAATATCTATATTAAGAAATTAAAGGAACATATTTGCCACATTTTGGGGCCAAAAGAGGTGAAACTCTTGAAATTTAATGAAGAATAGTATAGTGTCTGACATGGAAAGTTTTCTTTTTATTTGATAATAATTTAAATCATAGGTTTGCCAAGTTTGTAGGCATTATCAAATCATTTTTTTATTTTGTACCCCCTCAAATCTGAGTCTGCTAAGTCCTTTGAGTGGGGACACACTGATAAAAAGCACAATTTACAACTGCTTGAAATGCAGTCAGGATAGGTGGATACTTTAGAGCACTATTCTATATAGGTACTTTATAATTATTTTAAAGTAGTGTGGGGTATTTTACTAATAACCTTATGCCTTGTAGTATATATATATGGCAGTAGGTACGTTTCTTAACTTTCAGATTCTTCGAGAAGAACCTTGCTCCTGCTTCATATACCACTGAGCCTTCTGGGGAGTGAGAAGTGAAGTGCATTAGATAAGGAGCACGCCATACTGTCACTAGAGAGCAGCCCTGTGGTGGTAGCACCCAGGACATACTGAATATGTTTCTTCATCCATACAGTGAGGGTGTTGGTGCTACAATACTGTGTGTCTGACCGAATTAGACATTCTAGTTGGTTCTTGATAGATGAGTGTGCTGTCCTTAAATGGTTTATAGCTGAGGAGGGGAATGATACTTACAAAGATAAAAACACATTAAAGTCATAGTGAAGGTGCATACTAGGTGCCTGGGAGACTTAGTGGAAATCTGAAAAGGAGTCAAGAGGAAGAGGCTAGTTAGAAGATACTAAGGAGAAGTATATGCTCAAACTGATTATTGAAGTGGAGGTGGTTGCCAGGTTTTTCTTTTTGGCTTAAAAGGTAGATATGCTCCAGAATTCTGGTTTATAGTTAGTGCAGAACATGAAACAACATAGTGTTTGTGGAACTTCAAGTGTTTGTGACTTGCCACTGTGTGGCATCCAGAGTAGTGTCTCCTCCACCTTGGGAGGCATGTGGATGATCTATTGGGGTCAGGGAAGAAAAGATGAACGTAAATCCAACTTTTCTGTAAACTTTCATTAAAATAACAAAAAGAAAAGATAGACCTCGATGTATGTCTGTTTTATCATTTTAAAATTTGTTTTGAGATTTTTGTGATGTATATATGATAGCCTCAGTCCTGAGGCTCAATGTCAAGAAGACAAAGATTCTCACCACTGGACCAATTGGCAGCGTCAGGATGGATGACGAAGAGATTGAGAGTGTTCACAGCTTCAGTTTGCTCGGCTCCACAGTCAACACTCTTGGCACCAGCAGTCAGGAAATCAAAAAGCGTATCGCGATGGGAAAGTCTGCTGTTAGGGACCTCTCTAAAGTACTCAGGAGCAACAGTGTCTCTCTGGAGACTAAGGTGCGCCTGATACAGGCCATGGTCTTTGCAATCGCTTGTTATGCATCAGAGAGTTGGACAATGACTAGGGAGGACAGAAGGAGAGTGGATGCTTTTGAGCAGTGGTGCTGGAGAAGGGTACTGAAAGTACCATGGACTGCCAGGAAAACAAACAGATTTATCTTGGAGAGGATTAAACCAAGCTACTCCTTGGAGGCAAGGATTCTGGGGCCTCGTCTGACATACTTTGGACATGTTTCCAGGAGGGACGGGTCCTTGGAGAGGGGACATCATGCTTGGGAGGGTTGAGGGACAACGCAGGAGGGGAAGACCCTCTATGAGATGGATTGATTGGGTGACTGGGGCAATCAGGATGGTTGTGTCAGAGGCGGTGCGGTTGGTGCAGGATAGAGCAGGGTTTAGGGCTGTTGTGCATAGGGTCGCTATGAGTCGGAAACGACTCGACGGCACATAACAACAACAACAACAACATATATGATAGCATCAGAAGTATGACCCTTATCAGGTTTCCAAGGCAAAAAATGTGAACTGGAGCAAATTGCCTTACCTTTGTCCTGAGAAACTACTGATGGAGTTGAACCAACAATTTTTTGGTTAGCAGCCCAAAGTGTAATCTATTATACCACCAGAGCCTCCTGTTGTATACCTGCAGTTGTGTTTGTGGAAGTAAAAGAATTGAGATCAGAAGAATCAGAACAAGTGACGTTTTGAAATTCTTAACACATCTTTTCTATATTAAGATTAAGAATATAGCTTTTTGGGGGGAGGGAAGAAAAAAATACAGCTTTTTACCATCTATTTTTAGAGATACTATTATCTATATCAGATTTGTTTTAAGAAAGTAGTACAGTGGTGGTTGTGGTGGTGATGGTGGTGGTGGTGGTGGTGGTGGAGGTGGAGGTGGAGGTGGAGGTGGAGGTGGGGTCAGGATCAGGGTCAGGGTCATGTGCTGTTGAGTATGACTCATAGTGACCCAGACTCAACAGACTGATTTAACAGACCTGAATGCTGTCCTATCCTGTGCAGTCTTGACCATCTCTGATACACTTGAGTACATTGCTGCAGTACCATGTTAGTCCATCTTGTTGGGGGTCTTCCTCTCTTTCGATGACCCTCCACCTTTCCAAGTATAATATCCCTTTCCAAGGAATAGTCTTTCCTAGCAACATGTCCAAAGTATGAGCGCTGAAGCTTTACAGTCTTTGACTCCAAGAAGCACTCTGGCTGCATATTCTCAAGACATCTTGTTCTTTGGACATTCCATATCTGTGCTCTTTTCCAACACCACAGTTGAAAGACATTAGTTGTTCTTCTCTTATCCTTATTCATTGCCCAGCTCTCAGATGTGTACCAGGTAGTTGAAAAGACCATATCCGGAATCAGGTGCACCTTTGTCCGCAAACTGACATCATTGCTGTGCAGTATTTTAGAGAGGTCCCTGACAGAAGACTTTTCCAAAGCAGTACATCTCATGACTGCTGATAACAAAGGTCAGTTGTGGATCCAAGTAAGGTGAAATCATTGACAGTTTCAGTCTTTTCTCCAGCTTTCATGATGTTGTCTATTGGCCCAATAGGGGAGGACATTTGTTTTCTTGATGTTGAGATATAATCCGTATGAAAGCTGTAGGCATTGATTTTGCTGCAGCAACTGTTTCAGGTCCTCTTCACTTTGACCAGACAAGGCTGTGTCATCTGCATAATGTAAGTTGTTAATGAGTCTTCTCTGATCCTAATGTCACATTTCTCTTCATAGAGTCTAGCTTCACAAATTATTTGCTCAGCAAACAGATTGAAATAGGTGTGGAGAAAGGATACAACCCTTATGCATGCCTTTCCTGATTTTAGACCATGCGGTGTTCCCTTGTTCCATTTGGACCACTTTTT